AAAACCTCAATGATTACACACACACAGCAGTAAAAATTAATAAATTATGCAAAGTCACAGGATACAAAATTAACACATAAAAATCAAAAGATGTTAAGAAGACAATTTCATTTACGATAGCATCCAAACTAATACTTAAAAATAAACTTGACTAACTAGGCAAAGGATTTGTACACTAAAAATTTAAAACATTGCTGAAGGAAAGTAAAGACACCAAGAAATAGAAAGACACCCTGTGTTCACAGGTTGAAAGATTTAATATTATTTAAGATGTCAAAACACCCAAAGGAATGTACAGATTCAATATGATTACTATCAAAATGTCATTTTTTAAGACAGAATTGGAAAAATTCATTCTAAAATTCATATGGAATCTTGGGCCAGCAGGTGGCATGAGGTTAAGGCAGCGGCCACAGCCAACTCCACAGTTCAAGTCTTGGACTGGAAGCTTGAAAATCATGCCTGATGTGAGTGTGTGTGTGTGTGTGTGTGTGTGTGTGTGTGTGTATGCTCAAAATCCCAAGAGAAGAAGGGAGAAGGGATTACAGCATGGTTATCTCTCCTGGTGGGGATGGTGGTGATTTCTCACTTTCTCTCCTCTTCCCCCCTCTGTGAGTGCACCTACCCTATAGCAAAACAACAACAACAACAACAACTAAAAAGACCTTAAATAGCCAAAACAATATTGAAAGATAAGAACATTGGAGGCTTCACATTTCCTGATTTCAAAACTTACTACAAAGCTACAGGGTGGTTCTAGAGTAAAGACACAGATATAGGAGGACCAAGTGGGGCACAGTGGTTAAAGTGTCTGGTTTCCCATGGCTGACTGTGCAGTTCAAGTACTGGACCCGGTGACTTGAAAAACACACTGGGTGCATGTGTGGGTACCCCCAAAATCTTGAAAGAAGAATGGAGGAGAAGGGATTGCAGAGTGGCCATTCCTTCCCCACTTCCCCCTTCCCCTTGGGAGTGCTTTCTCTCTGTTTCTCCAGTGAGCACACACTCCCTGTAGCAAACTAGAGAGGAAGGAAGGAAGGAAAGAAAGAAGAAAGGAAAGGAGGAAGGAAGGAAGGGAGAGAAAGAGGCCTCTTTTGTCCCCCCAAGGAAGGAAAGAAGTTGTCACATAAAGACAGACATATAAACCAATGGAATAGAAAGTCCAGAAATAAACTATCACATATATGATCAAATGAGTTTTGACAAGGGTACCAAGGCCATTCAGTGAGGAAAGAAGTCTTTTCAACAAAAGGTACTGAAAAACTGGGTATCTAGGGACCAGTTAGCATAATGGCTATGTCGCTGGACTCCCATGTAGTCAACTGTGGGTTGCATCCCAGACCCGGGGGCTTAAAATTCACACCAAGCGTGTGTGCGTGTGTGCCCAAGATCCCGAGAAGAGAACAGAGGAGAAGGGATTGCTGTGTGGCCATCCCCCCTGGGGGGTGATTTCTCACTTTCTGTCTCTCTGTCTCTCTCTGTCTGTCTGGCAAGCGCACACGCCCTATAGCAAAAACCTCTCAAAAACAAACAAACAAACAAACAAAAAAAACAACTGGGTATCTAGAGGTGAAACATTGAAGTTGGACCCTTAGCTAACTCCATATACAAATATAAACTCAGAATGGATCAAAGACCTAAATGTAAGAGCTAACACTATAAAACTATTAGAAGAAAATATAAGCCAAAAGCTTCATAATATTGGATTTCACAGTAATTTATTGGATATGACACCAAAGGCACAGGCAACAAAAAATAAGTAAATTGAAGTACATCAAAATAAAAAATTTCTGTGCATTGAAGAACACAAACAGAGTGTAAAGGCAACTCCCAGAATGGGAGAAAATATTTGTAAATCATGTATTTCATAAGAAACTAACATCCAGAATACATAAGAACCTCCTACATTCAAAAACAAAACAAAACCTAACAACTTGATTTTTTAAATGGGCAGAGAACTTAAATACACATTTCTCCAAGAAAGATACACAAATGGCCAATAAGCACATAAAAAGATGTTCAGCATCGCTAATCAGTAGGGAAATGCAAATCAAAACCACAATGAGATAACACTCCATACCCATTAGGACAGCATTACTAAAAACAAACCAACAAACAAAACTGAAAATAACAAGTGGTAGCAAGGTTGTGGAAAAATTAGAACTCTTGTGCATTGTTGTTGGTGTAAAATGGTACAGATACTAGGAAAAGCAATTTTTAGATTTCTCAAAATATTAAACATAGAGCTGACTTCACAGCCTAGAGGTTAGGGGAGCTGGATATCACATGGCTGACCATGGTTCAAGTCCCAGCCCCAGTGACTTGAAAAACACACTGGACACATGTGCATGCATGCTCCAGATTTCCATGGGATGGAGAAATATAGAAGAGATAAAGACATGACTATCTCTCATTGAGGAAATGCTTTCTCTCTCTCTCTTCCTTTCTCTGTCTCTCTCTGGTGAGCACATATGCTTCTGGCAATTAACCAAAAGTCAACATAGAGATACGGCGGTCCGGTACCTCCACATCTGCATATACACCCAAGAACTGAGAGCAGGAACTTGAGCAGATATTTGTGCCATGTTCATACGAGCCTTATTTACAATAGTTAAAAGGTGGTGCAATCCAGGTGTCCATTAATGGATGACTGGTTGGACAAAATGCGTTCTGTAAATACAGTGGAATAGTATTCAGCCTTAAAAAGGAAAGAACTTCTGATACATGCCACAGATGGATGAAACTTAAAGGCATTATGCTAAATGAGATAATCCAGTAACCAAAACACAAATACTGTATATGTCCACTTACATGAGATACTTACAGTCATCAGAAAGTACAACAGGCAGAAAGTACAATAGTTGCCAGGGACTAGTGTAAAGGGGAATGAGGAGTTATTGGTTAAGCAGTATGGGATTTCCATTTAAGAATCTAAACAAAGTTCTGCAGATGGACAGTGGGGATGGTTGCACAACACGATAAATGTACTTAATATTACTGAACTATTGACTTAAAATGGTCTAAAAAAGGTTATGTAAATTTTGCTACAATAAAATAAATCTTTAAAAAAATCAGACATGCTTTATTCTTTTTATTTTTTAAGGATCTATTTATTTTTTTTAAGAGAGATTTTTGCTATAGGATATGTGTGCTTACATATCCTATAGCAAAGAGACAAAGAGACAGAAAGCAAGAAATCACCCCCCCTGGGGGGGGTGGCCATGACACAATCCCTTCTGTCCATTCTCCTCTTGGAATCTTGGGCTCACATGCACACGCTCCTGGCGTGAGTTTTAAGCTACCGTGTCCAAAACTTGAACCGCAGTCGACTGCATGGGAGTCCAATGACATAACCATTATGCCATTTGCTGGTCCCAAGAATTATTTATTTATTTAATTCAGTTTGTTATTATTGTTGCTTAACTGGACCAGAAAGTGACAGATTCAGAAAGAAAGGGAAAGTGAGAAAGCAAGCCACCAGGTCCGGGACTTGAGCTGTGGTTAGCCATGTGGGAGTCCAACGCCTTAACCATCACACTATCTGCTGGCCCCAGATATGCTTTATTCTTAAAATCAAAAGCTTGAAACAACTCAAATATTCATCAACATGAAAATGAATTTGTAAATTGTGGCATATCCACACAGTCAAATATTACATAGAGCAATAAAAAAGAAAGAGCTACTGACACAAGGACATGACCTCATAGACATTATGTTGACAGGGAAGAGCTATATACAGCACCCCACTTAAATGAAGTTTAAAAACAAGCGAAATCAAAACGGAGGGATAAAAGAAAAGATAGCATTCGCTATTGACAAAGAGAAGATACGAAGAAGCTACCTGGGACTAGAAATGTTCTATGTCTTTTTCTGGGTGATCATTACCTGGATAGATATAATATTGTTTGTTTGTTTATTTATTTAGAGAGATTTTTGCTGTAGATTACGTGTGCTTGCTGGAGACAGAGAGAGACAGAAAACAAGAAGGGGGGGGGGAAGGGGGCATGCCGCAATCCCTTCTCCTCCATTCTCCTCTCAGGATTTTGGACACAGAACAAACACATGCCCGGCATGAGTTCTTTAAGCCACCGGATCAGGGACTCGAACTGCAGTTGAGAACTGGGGAGTCTAGCGAAGTAAACATTGCGTCATTTGCTGGCCCCATTAGTGTATCTATTACATTTCTTCACATGAAATCTATGTCCTTATGTTCAACTAATCGCAATTTTATAAAATGAAGTAAGACTGTGATGATAAATAGTTCCAAAAGGGACTCTGGAAAGAGGCTGTTGAGCGCGTCTACCCACCACCATGCGGAACTGTGGAGCAGAGAAAACAGCATGAAGGCGATGTATACTTGACCTACCAGTGTAGAAAGACCTTTGACCCTGCCTGAGTGACATTCATGATAGGCTGCCCACCCTTCTCAGTGCTCAAGGGCAAGTACAAGCCCCAAGTGATCTGCTCTTAACGTAAGCCCCAGTCTGACCTACTCAGGGAAAGGTGTGAACATGAGAGTTTACATCTTTCAGTTTTGTGTACGCCGTCCCCTGAACTCCAGTTCTCTAGTCCAAGATCCACGGGAAATTTCTGCTTTCTGATCGCAAAGACATTTCTGACTCTAAAACAACAATCTCAGGACACAGCTACTTTAAACCCACATCTATGGCGAACCGGGCTTTCCCCGTTCACAGCCCACGCTGACCCAGCAGAGCGTCACTATAGTGGTCTTAGGGAATACAGGTTAGCAAGTCAAGGTGCAGGTGTAGATGACGGATTTGTAAACAGCAAGCTCTGTAGATGGCCTCAATTTCCATGTCCACCTTACTAGATTCCACTTCCTGTGGACTGTTACAGGGAGTGCCTGGGGTGTTTCAGAAATGTCTAGAGAGTGTCTTGTTGCAGGTGGTTCACCCCACGTAGTAATCAGTAATCTAGAGGCATTATCCTACCACCCAGGTATTAGCCGTGTCCGGGACAAATGAGTTTCAAGCACTTACTTTCATCGTTAGAAACATTCCCCAGAGATGTGTGGCTGGAATAACGTTTGTTTTCACTTTCATTGAGACATCTTTCAATCCAGCTCTCTAAAACAGAAAACAGAAGAAAAACCGTAACATGATTGCTGGAGTTTGTGAAGGGACAGGAGCATGATGAAACACATCAGATTTCATTGCCTGTCAGCTTTAATATCACATCTGCCCAGATGAGACTTGCATTTCACAGGACACTCCATGCATCACTGTTGGTAAGACCTTCCTGGGTAGTTCGGAGGCAGAATGTCCACTTGAAGCCCTACTTAGTCATTTTTGGTCAAATTTTACTGATGGAAAGCCCAATACTAGCAACTGAGGATATTTCTCTCTCTTTTTTTTTTTTTTGCAAAGACTATATGTTCCTGAGAAGTCCAGTAGTTTGTAAAACAAAATTTGGTCACCTGAATCATTGGTAGTGGTTTGCAAACTTGTAAATTAGCAGCAGAACCCTTTCTTCAAATGAAAACAAAAGAAAAAGCAGATAAAACCCTGGGCCTGGGGCTCTGGTTTAAGTGGAAGAAGAGGGGGCAGGGAACCTTACAGCTCACCTCCCCTTGCCCAGTAACTCAGAGGGGGCTCTACCAGGCGCAGACTGAAAGCCGCAGCAGGAGAAGAAATCAAAAGCATTATGGTAGCAATGTAACACTTTTAAAACCCAAAAGACTGAGGGTTTCTAATCCAACTTCAAAGGCTGCACATGTACTTTTTACAATGTAGCAATAATGCTTATCCCATTTTCTAGACCACCCACTCACTCTTCATTCCTTCATTCAATCATTCATTTGAGATCATGGACAATACTGCTTGGTTTGAAAACATGAACGTGTTCCAGTGCAAGTAATACATTAGGGAATAATTGGAGCCCAGTCTCAATGTTGTGTTTCCCTACGCTCCATGTCTTCTATGAGAAACATTAGGTAAATGCAGAAAATTGCACTTAGTTGAACTGACCCCCACTGAAATACGCAACACACACACTCACACACTCACACCTTAAACACAGGCCAGCTTCTCCAGTTGCCTTCCAACATCTACTTCTAAAGGCAACCTTCCGGTCCTCCCCAAGGTGAAGGGTCGTGTCTACTGTGTATGTGTAGCTCCTAATCATGAAACAGGTGCAAAGTGTGCTATCATTTTTATTAGGTTACTATCTCTTTTTACGTGTCGCTGACAAAGTTATTCTGTGGGGTTTTGCTGTGCAGTTTTGCATAACATGGTAATTCTTTTTAGCAATGCATGTGCAAGGGATGTCGCAGAACTCACGGTAGCAAAGGCACTGATGCCGCGTTACCTTCTTTATAACACGGGACATTTCTTAGACACCTGTTTTACCCAGCCAGGCCCTTTATGTATGGTATCTCGGTGAGTCCTCGCAACCCTCTGAAGCAAGAATGTAATCTGTATTTTTTTCCTAGAAAGCAATTGAGGCTTAGAGAGATTAAGTAATGTGATTTCTTGTATATCAAAGAGCCAGAGCCAAGATCAGTAGTTAACACTTTGGGTGATCGTACTGTAAAAAGAAGCCACACTGACAGTAAGCTCCGGAGAGAGGGCGGAAGCGAATGCGAACGGCAGGGTAAAATGCTGGATTTTTGTTTTGTATTTTATGTCTCAACAAACTGCTGTTTTAGAAGCTGCTTCCAAAGTTGTAAATAAGTAGGGGAGAAATATCCACGGGGAGAAACAAGGGCTGGTTTGTTAAGAGAATATGGAAATCTGGTATTTCCAAACCACTTCCTGATAGCAAATGTGCAATGTAGAAACAGCTTGTAACATATTGGAGGCTGGGATGCACAAGGCAGGTGTTTGTCATCACACTGTATCCAAAGCACATTTGGTTACTCCAGAATCCTTTCCCGGATTCCCCAGAACATCTCCACTCAGATCTTCTCACCTCTCCAAGTCTTGGCACGTTTCTCTGGCAACAACTATGGCTGAGTTGGGGTGGTATTTTCTAAAATGTACAGCCCCTACCTCTGCCAAACCCTACCACCAAAGCTCATTGTCCCAAACCAGCCCCTGGTCTTCCAGTTTTTCTAGATAGGAGTGTACACTTAGTTACTCTCACACGCATGAGGACACGTTCTCTCTCTCTCTCTCTCTCTCTCTCTCTCTCTCTCTCTCTCTCTCACACACACACACACACACCTACTCCCTTTAATCAGAAACAGGAACTAAGGGAAACACACTCCCTCTTATCCATTTTGTCTGTGCCAGAATCAGACCTATTATAACCAAAGTGCTGGGGCTGGCAGGTAGCATGGTGGTTAAGGGGCTGGACTGCCACACAGTCGAGCATAGTTTGAGTCTCAGTCTCAGTGGCTTCAGACTCACATCGGGTGTGTGTCTGTACATGACCAAAATCCCAAAATCCCTAGAGGAGAATATAGGAAAAGGGATTGCAGTATGGCCATTCCATTCCTCCCCCTCCTCCCGGGGGGGGGGGGATTACTCATTTTCCCTCTCTCTCTCTAGGGAGTGCACACACCCTATGGCAAAATCTAAAACAAACAAAAACCCCACGGTCTTAGAAGGGCCTGTTCTTGCAAGTAAGAAGCTGTAATGATTGGTGGGACACTCTCTAAAGAACTTCTGCAACATTCGAGAGGGGCTGGCTCTAGGCACCAGGTGGGTGAAGAGAGTGCAGCACCCACACCCGGGAGTCCAAGCCAAGTAAGCTTTCCTGCCGGCCTCCCCCGCTGCTGACCACCCAGCCCTGACACTGGGGAGCTGATGGCAAGGGGACACGGAGGGGAGAGGGTGAGAAGTGTGCCCTGAAAGAAGACGCCTCTCAGAGAACCCTTTCTACCTCCTGTTGCTCCAGGAGTGACTCAGGTCTCTGACCCCATGGCCGATGCCTACAGCCACTCGACTAGCTAGCTCTGCCTTCTGGCCCACGCAGAGTAAGTCTGGCCTTGCTGGGAGTGGCAGACATGGGAAGATAGCCATCATGTTTCCATTTCTCTGGTCAAAGTACCCCACTTGTTCTGACTTTTGCTTGGAATAAATTGTTCCCACTTATTTTTTCAAAAAGGTAATTTATTATTTATATCTTCGATCCAAGAGAGAGAGGCAGAAAGAGGCGAGGGGCACCCCTACGAGGTCTTCACTCCATGATCCACGCCCAGCCCCAGTCAGCCCAGATCACAGGAATAACGTGAACCTATCCAGCATGTGTGGGGAGGTCCCAGAACATGAACCCAGGACCTTCCCCTGTGAATCCAGTTGTGTTACTGCTACACCAGCACCTGGCCCCTGTTCCCACTTCTTTGCCATCCAGTTCACCTGCTTTGGGCTGTCTTCCACTTAACCAATGTCCATGTGTACATGGTACCCGAGATAGACGCTAAGGGTCCAGACAGTGGTCTGAGAAGTGCCATGCGTGGCAGAACCATCGCCTCTCGTTCCAGACACCTGGAAGTCTCATGCCCTCAGGAGTCTTGCATTCCAGATTGCAGGGATATGACTCTGACATACGGAAACAGGCCAGAGCCTTGGATCCAAGCGCACTTTGACCTCTGTCTTCTTCCTTAACGGAGCCCTGAGCAGTGACATCTGCAACTCAAGTACCATAATTTGGGCTGCTAGTGTGACTAAAAAGGCCCAAATTAAGTCAAACATGAACTTTATGTACTTTAAAATCTTTGTGTTTTTTAGAGAGATTTTTGCTGTCGGGTGTGTGTGCTCGCCATAGAGGCAGACAGAAAGCAAGAAATTAACCCCTGGGGGCGTGGCCACATTACAATCCCTTCTCCTCCATTCTCCTCTGGGGATTTCTGGCACGCATGCACGCACACACGCCCTGTGGGATTTTTAAGCCGCCGGGTCCAGGACTTGAACTGCAGCCGACTACATGGAAGTCCAGTGACATAAACATTACATCATTTGGTGGTCCCAATATTTTAAAACTTCTTTTTTTTTTTTTTTGGAGAGGTTTTTGCTGTAGGGCACGTGCGCTCGCCAGACAGAGAGAGACAGAGAGACAGAAAGTGAGAAATCACCCCCCAGGGAGGAAGGCCACGCGGCAATCCCTTCTCCTCCGTTCTCCTCTTGGGATCTTGGGCACGCACGCACACGCGCCCAGCGTGAGTTTTAAGCCACCGGGTCCAGGATGCAAACCACGGTCGACTACGTGGGAGTCCAGCGACATAGCCATTACGCCAACTGCTGGTCCCAAAACTATTTTTTAACAATGACTTTCCGTCTTGCAGAGATCAAGAATTACTTGATAGATACATTGAATTTTGAATCAAACTGTGTTCTACCTTATGGATTTGTAGATTATGTGACTTAGAATAACAAAGGTCCCCGTATATTGAGCACTGCTTACAGGCCAAGTGTGGTGCAGATGTACCCTGTACACCACCAGACGCAACCCCATTACAGCCTGGTAAGGTAGGCGCTGTGAACGGGCACATTTTAGAGATGAGAAGTGAAGGCTGAGAGCGAGTGGGTGACTTGTCCTGTTACCCAGCTAGTAAGAGGCAGGGCCAGTACCCAGACTCACGTCATAATCACTGACTGAACTGAGCTCCCTTTTTCTCTTCTGTCCCAATTGTCCCCAGAACACAGTGCCAAAATTGCAGCATTGATTGCAGTCTACCTTGAATCAGAACTTTTCCTAAAACTCTATTTACATATTAAAAATTGTGCTAAATTCATTAACATATTTCCTCATCAGTCATTTTCATATGTAGCAGGCTCAACAGGTTTAGAAGGTAAACATCATAAGAGTGAACATTATTGAGGGACCAGCAGATGGCATAATGGTTATGATGCTGGACTCCCACATAGTCAACCACAGTTCGAGTCCTGGACCTGGCCTCTGAAAACTCATGCCGGGTGTGTGTGTGCCCAAAATCCCAAGAAGAAAATGAGGAAAAGGGATTGCAGTACGCCATCCCCCTGGTGGGTTCATTTCTCACTTTCTGTCTCTGTCTCTCTGTGTCGCTCTGGTGAATGCATGTGCAATATGG